CATCTGCCAGCTCCCGCAGCACTCTGGGGTGCATCCCATCAGGGCCCATGGATTTGTGGGTATCGAGGTTCCTTAGGTGCTCTCTGACCCAATCTTCCTCTACCCAGGGCAAGTGTTCCTCTCCACCAGCTTCTTCTCTTGTCCCTAGGGCCTGGGGCTCTAATGGGCTGCCCTTGGTAAACACTGAAGCAAAGAAGGCATTGAGCAACTCTGCTTTTTCTGTGTTATTTGTAACCAGGGTGCCCATCCCGTCCGCCAGTGGACCCACGTTTTCCCTGATTTTCCTTTTGCTGTTAATGTATTTGAAGAATTTTTTTTTGTTATTTTTAACGTCCCTTGCCAGCTTGCCTTCCAGACGTGCCTTAGCTTTCCTTGTCAAGTTCATCCAAAAGTGCTGGTTAGGGGGAAACTTGGAAACTCTACCCCTGGGTATGTGTGACCAATGTTTAGCATATTTTCTTAGAAAATTTTAGAAATTTTGTTTGTATATATTTGAAACCTAAAGGAACTCAAGAAAAGAATATAGATTTCTTTCTCAAAATCTGTGACCATTGTCTGATAGTTTCACATTCACTGTTGTGCTCTAGCTTTTTGTCATACTTTATCTTTACTGCATATTTCTCCAAGATACATGCATCTGTGTTTGATAGTCTGACCTCAATATGTGGTAGAGGATATTGTACATAGTTTTATATAAGATAGTTAAAAGAACAGCCAGAAAGGAGGGAGAGAAAAAAAACACGGGGCGGGGGGGAATTGAAGTCCGTATAATCAATACACAGAAATAGGTAATCCATTTATTGGAAGAAAAAGCTCTGACAAAAGGATAGAGGAAAAAGACATTCTGTGGCATCTTAGATGACATAAGAGACCACAAGATTTTTTTCTAGAGTGTTCTTGAAAATTAATATTAGAAGTGAACTTTAGTTTTGGCAGACAAGGTAAAATTTAGAAAAAATAATTGACAAAATTTTGAAGCTGGAGTGAAACAGAGTGAAATTATCCATGATGAGGCTGTAATTCTTGCTTAAGTAATTGAACCTAATTAAGTAAAAGAACATATCAGAAAAGAGGTGATGTTGAATAAATCACTAAGGATATTCTGATGTAGCAAAGAATACAAATAGGATGTTGAAACAGCAGAGAAGCAAAATTACTACTTTTCCATTTGTTTTTTAGCTGTCAAAAGATCCTAGAGTATGATAATACAGTCCAGAAAAGAAACAGGATAGTTAAAATAATGTTATTAAAATAGAGAAATAATTATGAGGTATCACAGCATCAGAAAATGCACTAATATTACAAGAACCACATGGAAACTGGTCAAATTATTTGAGTTTTTTTCAGCTCATTGCTCACACAGTCAGTTAACTCACTCTGTGGTACCTAAAATTTGGAGTATTCCTGGTGGTGGAGTGATAAAAACTGCAGGACAGACTGTATCACATGCTATGTTTTCTTATATTTATACAATTTTATTTTAATGAAGAGAAGAAAAAGTAGCTGCAAACCAAGAATAAAGTTCCAAGTAGTTTTCTTTTACTTGCAAGGTATCTGCAATATAGAACTGGTCACTTAAATTTTTGTTTATGGCCTGAGGAGGGGAAAAAAAAAAAGCATTTTGGGGCATAATTCTGTCAACCTATTTTTGGTGTCTTAGAACAAGATGAATCTAGAAATGTCTGTAACCAAATGTGGATGTGATCCCTTTAAAAGCAATAGTAACTTTTGCTATTGACTTCACAGAGGCCAAGATTTCACTTTGACAGTGAAGCTTAACCTTGGTTGAGGACTTTATTTTGTAAAACAGTGACTCAAAAAGGAAAGGATTTAAGGATAAGTCACTGGAATAACCGACATGGACTTAAACTTTGAAAACTTTACCTTGAGACTGGCATGCGTGACTTCAATTCGCAGTTTTAGGTTTTGTGCACTGGACTGCTATGGCCTTTTCATATTAGGGGTAGGAACAGATAGTCGCAGACCTGGTTCTGCATGTGCTAATTTACCCAAGCACCACTTTTCTCTTTTGATCACGATATCACCATTTTTTTGATAAATTGCTGTATTCCAGCTCCTGTTGGAACTTCTGCCTTGCAGAGTGATTCGTGAATTGCAGGTATTGCAAGTTCCTGATTGACAGTAGGTTGCTGTAATGTAAGGCAGCTCAGTGTGTAGCTCTGGAAGGAAGCTAGGAATGGGTTTGGGAGCTGCCGCGCTGCTCTGGAGCAAGTTGGCATGTTACCTAGAATAACGTGGGATCACTGTCTTCTGTAACTGAAGGCTTCTGCCTTGCACATTACTTAATTTATGGTTGCTTCAGATCATGGACAAGTGTTCAGATTGTCTTCTCATTCTTCTTAATACAAACTCAGCACAAAGTAGGTTAAAGTAAATATAAAGAATTGATGTCTGCATAGTTGCATTGCCATTATAGAGGCAAAGGATTTGCAGGCAGGTATGCTTAAGTACTAATTACTTAGAGCAGTTTCAGAAACTTTCTCTTTGTACTTGTCAGTTACTGAGTTGTCAAGCCATTTACCATTTGTCTGGGGATCCTGTTTCATGCAGACCCTATCTCTTTCCATTTGTCTTCTCAGTAGAAAAGGATTGAGATGCAGGTCTCTCAATATCTGTGTTTTAGTTTAATCAGGATGCTTGTTTAAAAATGAAGAAGTTATGTTTGTCCTTTTCCTGGAGGAATTGTTTCTTGCTCCCACCCAACTTTGACTTGTGGTAATATACCTATCCAGGTAGTAAACAGAAACTACTAATGACATTGTGTGTTGCAGTTCAAATGGCTGCAGCGACCTGGTTCAGGGACGGCACGGCGACCACCCCCAAACCACTCGGGCTATCAACTAGTTGACACAAATGTGGTGGACGGCAAATGGCGTTTATTGATGGGAAACAAGGTGTTATATATCTAGGTTTACAACGTCACATCCGTCTGCTTACACCATAGACTAAACACTATTGGCTACTAGGGGCCCTATCTTTCCGTACAGCACGATATCTTCCGGCCGCCGTTCCCTAACTATCTGCAACAATTGTGGCTAACCCTAAACAAACCTTTGAGTGAGTAGAGGATACTCCTTTTTATCCAGTGAAATAGATTTAATCCTTAGAATATGAGCTGAAGAGATCATATGTTTGTTTTGGGTTATCTTCCAATGTATTACAAATAGCTTGAGATAAAAATCAAGAAACTTGTACAAACACACTGTGCCTCTCTAAAATTTTCAAGTTGTAATTGTGTTCTGGTAAAATTTTTATTTAATCAATTGTTACCTGTCTGCTCTACTGAGATGAGTATCATCTATATTTTTCCACATAAATCTGGTTTAACTCCCATATTGTGTTTTGGTTAATTCAACAACAAGTGTTTGTTCTTGCTTGATCTAGACCAAATCTGTCCTATCGGGAGGTCAGTCAGAGCATGGTCAGTCAGTTAATGAGCATGGGATCCTGTCTTCTTTGGAATTACCTTTTTATAAGTGGAAACATACATTTCAAATAAATATTTGTTTATCGACAACCTTTATTTCCCAGGTTTATAAACATGATTCTTGTAAGTGTTCGTTACAAGCTCTTTATGAAGACTAGTTATGGTGATGAACGGTTCCACTTCCATTGAAACTGGGATCATATCCTTCTATGTTTCTGCTCCTTTTTTCCTTTTCACTCATCCTTTTTCTTTCTTCTAGTCTAAGTAAATCACAGTGAACAGATGTATTGGAGATGGAAATTTCTGTGATCTATAGAGTCATAAAAATCTCCTGTGAGAAGCAGAGGCCAGACCTTGAGAAAAAGATGTTTGCCTGCCTAGGCTGAGCGATAAGGAGCACGGATGCAGCTGCTCAGCCCGGTTCACAGGCAGCCCCCCCTGGAAACCTGTTGAAGCCATCCGCTCGGCCGGGCTTGTAGCCAACTTAACCGCAGACGTCCTCCAAACTAGCTTTGGAGGTCAAACACCCGGGAAGGAGGAAGAAGAGGAGGAAGGCAGGACCCTCGAATTGAGGGCTGGGATCCCTGAGTGGTGTGCGCGCCTGCCCACCCAGAGGGGAGA